CCTCAGAGGTCAGCTTCTCTGTTCACTTCTCACTCACCTGCTGTGTGCTGCTTGGCCCCACCCCGGCCCTGATGAGTGTGAGGTCTGGAAAGGCAGAGGCTTGGGTGCCCAGAGCCCAGCTGACCCCATGTACCCACCTTGGGGATGCCCAACTATGCGCCCACTGATGGTCACTTGGTGGGGTGCTGTCTCCCACCCGCCCAGGGTAAACTCAGCCCCCCTTGGTCCCACCTAGTGCAGGCGGTGTCCCAAACCCGACTCACCCTCCACCTTCATGATCTGGTAGGTGTCCTGCACCACCTTGTACTTGGGCTCATTCCGGAAGGCATGTGCCCAGGCCTGGATCAGGTACAGGATCTTGTTTCGGACATTGACCTCCACCTGCCTCTGCAGAGGAAGGAAGGACATGAGGACCACCAGAGACAGAGGTGCCAAAGGGAAGTCCCAGCGTGACAAACTGGCTGGTGAGACCCCCCCCTCCTCAGAGCAGGGGGGGGTCCCCCAGGTGGGGCACAGGGGCCACGTACAACCCTCTCCCCAGGCCCAGCCCTCCTCCATGGAACCCCATCCCTGAGGACGAACCCCACACACCTGTCTGCCCACTCAGGGCCAGCACTGTAACCCCAGGGACCCGAGGCAAAAGCTCTCCAAGTCCCTTGACCCCGTAACAACATGCGTCTCTTCCCACCCCATCCTGACCGGACTGGGAGCCCCTCAGTCTGTAACACTCTGGCCCTGCCTGACACGGGCCCTTCTTTCCAGTTACAGATGCCTCAGGGACACACCCACCTAGAGAGCCACCAACTCCACCGGCTGAAAGCACAGCCAGGTACACTTCTAGAGCCCCTGGGGCGCTGTCCATACAGGACGCTCAGGAGGATGGCGGAAAGAGAAAGCCACTTCACGGAGATGCCAACCACAGATCAGCGCCGGACTTCTGGGTCTTTCCTGTGATCTGTGCCCAATCAGTGGACAACCCCCTCCTATCTCCCAGGGGGACTAACTGCCTTAGACCACGTGCAGCAGAACAGGCACAGTCTGCCGACGCAGGAGGAGGCAGCTCCTAACTCCTGCTCTCCCAGTGGGCCTCAGAGAAGCCAGCTGTCAGCTCAGGTCCCAGATGGGCTCCTGGACCATGGGCCACAGGCACTGGGACAGGTCCAGGAGACCGTGGCCTGGCCCACTGGTGGCAGCAAGATGGTGCCTGGGGCTGCGCTCCTCAGCGGCCACTCAGGCAGCCTCACCTCCGTGGGGTACCCTTTCATCTCAAAGAATGTCTGCCCCACCCAGCTCTGCATCACATACCCCGGGGTGTCATTGCCCACGTCACAATCCCTGCAGACCTGGGAGGCCACTGGCAGGGGCCCCTCAGGACAATGTTTTGGATCCAGGAGGACTTTTCCTCCTCTGCCAAAGGAGGGCGTCTCCCCCAGTCTCCCTCCATCATACCCATGCGCATCCTGCTCGGAACCTTCCCTGGGCTTGGAACCTGCCAAGCTGCCCTTGGGGGTCCCCGGGCCTCTGCTCTCACACGCAACTCCTTCCTCCACCTTCTCCAGTGAGTGTCCCCTGCCCTTCAAGGCTTGGCTCCCAGCCCTGCCCCAGGAAGCCTTCTCCCACCTTAAGGAAGAGAGAGGCCTCCTGTACCCAGACATCGCCGGGCTGGGATTGGCATGGCGCAGGGACTACCGACACTCCCTCTCCGGTCTCTGCTGCACCTGGCACTGTTCCCGCCCCAGGTACCAGCAAACACTGGAGAAGCAAAGGCCTGGCAGCAGGGTGAGGTGCTCCTCTGACCCCATCTGGATCTATTGCTCCCGACAGAGTGCCCACCTTCAGCAGCTCCTTCAGCTCCTCCATAGTCTGCTTGTTGGCCACCTCATCATGGACTGTCTGGCCACAGTTCTTCACCACAGACTCCATGACCTGCAGACCCCAAGCAGGGGAAGGGTCCAGCTGCTGGCCAGGGTAAGGACCCCTCCTGGACAGGCCCACCTCCCCAGCAGAAGGCAGTCTTCCACAGGCCGCTCAGGTCACCTAGCCCATCAGGGGAGACTCCATGGAAGCCTGAGGCAGGCAGTGCCAGCACTACCCAGGTTCCTCACTCCACGCGTCATCACCAAGGACAGAGACTTAACTGTCCTAACTCCCCATTTCAGGTGGAGAAGCTGAGGCCCGGCTTCTGGCCCCAGCTCCATGTCAGGGTCGCTCATATCCGCCCTTACACCCAGTGCCCACATTGCGCTGGTGGTGTGCCCAGGCAAGTGGGCCAGGCCTCAGGGGCCACTGCTCTCGGCCATCCTGACTGCTGGGGATAGGGACCCTGGAAAGGATTGGCATGCAGGGGTCTAGTCACCTCTAGGGCATACAAGGCCACATGAGGGTTCTTGTCGTTGACTTTCTTCTTGATGGAACTCACAGCATATTTTGCCCTGAAGGAAAAAGTATTGGTACAAGCACAAAAATTCAGAACCAGAAGAGTCACAGCAACTACGAAAAGACAAGTCCAGGTGTCATGTAGCCCTTGGGATCCCCAAGCTGTACAGAGAGAGGTCTTTGGCTGTGCCCAGATCCCCAAAACCCCAGCATGCAGAGCATGCAGCTCCACACCAAGGCCACAGGGCCCTGGAGGGTAGTGGCACAAGAGTCCTCCTCACTTACTGCGTGTCCCCCTGGCGGATCAGGTCGCAGATCTGCAGGATGGACTCCCAGTCAGTCTCCAGCAGAAGCTGGCTGGTCGCTTTATCTAAGACAGAAACACACCATTACAGGAGTTCATCCTGTTGTGATTCCCAAGGGTGCCCCAGCTTAGCAACAGGAAGGAGCAGCTGCCTCCTGCCCATTTTAAACGTCTGGACCCAATGGACAACGCCGTGAGAATCCTCCTGACACAGTGATAACCGTGAAAACTGCTGTCCTGACCTAATGAGACAAAAAGCTTGAAAAACAGTAACAGAGAAATCCCGTTGTGTGCCTGTTACAAGCCCGGGGCCCTTCCAAACGCTCTCCCTGTGCTTGCTTCTCACACAGCCTTACGAGCTGGGTCCTGTTTCCATCCTCTTACAAACTGAAGCAGAGAGGTGAGGTCACTGGCGGGAGTCACACAGCTTGCCGGGAACAGAGCCAGCATTCAGCGCTACGCTGGCTGTTTCTCAACAGAGAAACCTGCTGCCTCAATCCTCAGGGTCCCCAGTTTTCAGAAGTTTGACCTAGTTGGTTAGATTTCCACGGGGGCCAGGCTTGGGGGATGCACCATGGACTCCTGTCCTCTGTATCAAGGGTCTTTGTGCGACGAAACAAGGCTGACCTCAGGGAATTCTCCAACTAATACCCCCCTCTCCCCATCACGCCTACAAATAGCCGGACAGGGCCTGTCCACCTTCAGTACTGAGCTGGTGGCAACTTCTGGACTGATCCCTAAAAGGCTGAACCACCCCATGTGGCTGAGTCCCTGGGCCTGCACCTTCCAAGGGCAAGAATGAAGCCCCGTCGGAGGCCTCCTCCGGAGCCCCACTCGAGGGAAGGGGCGGTGGGCTCGGGCTGACCGCGGGGCACTGGAGGAGGGGGGCCTGCCCGGAAACACTCGTTTTCCTTCCTAAAATCTGTGACCTCCCCTCCCCCGAGGCTCAGAGAGAAGCAGCCACGGCCTCTGACAGGCGGAGGGAGCGCCCTCCTGAGCCCGAGCGAGCGGGGGCGACCGGCCCGCAGGGAGCGGGCCTCGAAGGAGCGTGGCGGGTCCCACAAAGGTGTCCTCTTTTTTTGGGGTGCCAGCGTTGGGTCCGAAGGCCCGAACCCCACGCAGCCTAGCTCTGCGGGGAGGGCGTCTCCCGAGATTTGCTAAGTCACCCGTCTCGGTGACTCGGGACGTCGGGGGCGCTCCGTCAGGC